GGCCCTGAAGTCTACGGCCGGGTACTCACCTCAGTGGCCCCTAGGAAAAAAATTTCACATATCAAACAATCAAAAAAGTGAAAGTAGGAAAATATTTTCCTACTGCTCTGGAAAACTCCGCCAATCAAATGGAGCCTTATAAAATCTTTTGAAAAAGGGGAAGAATCGATATATATAGCCAGTAGGGGTTGGCATTTTTACCTGAAAACATCCAACTATAATCGTACCAAATTGAACAAATCTGTGCAGTTCGGTTCTAGTTGAAATTGGTTTGGTTTTAGATCTTAGAATTGAGATCCGTACGATTTTGGTCCAGTTATTGATTCCAGTTATAGAACCAAATTTTATTGCTAATGAAAAAACAGGGATCAGACTGGTCCGTCCGCTTCCTCTTTTTTTTTTTTTTTTTCAGAAAGAATGTAGATGTTGGGAGCTCTGACAATAATGACAATTGGTCATCACATGTTTCGAATAAGGATCATGCTAGTGGTACATCAATATCTACATCGGGGGTTACATCCCGCTCACATGGGAGTGGGGTCCACTCGTATAAAAAAATATTATTTCAATGGTCCCACCATCCATGTGGGGAGGGGGGGTGTAACTCTTGATGTACACCACTTGATGTTCGAATAATGTCAATGGTTTCACTTTCACAATTTTCAAGATATTTCACTAGCCCCTATTTGATCCACGTTTTAAAAACAAAAAACCATTCTTTCAATACTCATTTTCAAACATACAATTTTCAATAAAATAATATTGCACGCAAATTCAAAATATTTCCTTCTTTTTTAACCACATATTTTCCACACATCACTATTTAAAATGCATTATTTCCTCAACAATGTGCATCAAACGTGTGCTTAGCTCTAATAGCTGGTACATCAAGACTAGGTGGAAAGGACAAATCAGGCTAAACATAATCCCAATCTATCGTTGATGATGTTTTTAGGAAAGATTTGGTTAGAGCATGTTTGAGTCACATATTTTTTTTAAAAAAAAATTTGGCATAAAATGCATCTTGGAATAATAATTTGATGGAAAATGTGTGATTAAATAATAAAGAAAATGTGTGGTTGAAAATAAAAGAGAAAAATATATTTTGAAAATAATGAGTACCAAACAAGGGTTAATTAATCCCCAGATCGAGCGAGAGCTACCAAACAAAAAAGTCTCTTTAGAGATATGGGTGAAATATTACACAAGCTTGTAAGTCAGATGGAAATAGCCTAGTCTACGAAGCAGAGCACTCCCAAAGCTTAAATAGAACTTATAAAAACGAATGTTTAAATTTTATTTTTCCTTTACTAAAGAAGAGAAGGAAGTTACGAAATTGAATTGGAATAAGAAATCGAGGTCTTCATACATCTCCATAGACTTTTCCTTTACTAAAGAAGATAGTGAAGTAACAATAAAAAACGAAAATCGCTTAAATATCTCACGTTTAAATTATTAACGTTTTAAAATTATTAGACGACGGTGATGAAACATTAACAAACAACATAAGACTGTCAAATCTTAACAAGAATAGTGCAGATGTATCTATAAACTTTTCAAACTCACAATAAAGATTTAATTTTTTTTTGCATTTTAATTTATGATTTTTAGTCAGTTGAGAAACGAAGAACAAATCCACTTACCCACAAAGGAAATGAGGAAGTATAGATATCATTACAAAAAATTGCACAAACACATAAAGGACAACATGTTTGTTTCCACAACACATTAGAACCCCCCTATATTGGGCAACAATGGACACAACAATAACTCTTTAATTCAGGAATACCAAAGTTCCATGGTAGGACTACAAACGAAGATTCTTTTCATTCAACAACATAAATTATAGAAAATAACGATAATAAAGTAGTAGACTACTTTCCCATCATTTCTCCTT